CTCATGGGTGAAAAACATCATTTAAATCCATTCTGGAGCAGCCTGTCAGGATTAAAACTGGAAAGCCAAAGCAGACCCTCAGGAAGGTAAGTGGCAACATTGGTCTTTGACATTTTTACGGACACAACTTAAAAGATCCTCAAAGACCCTCTACTCTGCAAAAAATATTTCTGTCTTTGGACTACACTTTTCTACCATCAGAACCATTAATACGCAGGACAAACATGCTATGCAGTCCCAAGACTGTTGTTCACTACTAGCACCACCTTGGTTTCACATTAACTCACTGATTTAATCCTCTACTTAACAATGACCTATGTCTATATTCTTTACTTAGCATTCCTTCAGTTACATTCCTCATTCCTAGCTATGCAGGGTGCCCTGCATGTAGGGAGCTATCTCAGAACAGGTTGTCATTAAAATTAAGTTAATATTTTATATATCAATGATACAGTGGCCATTTTGGAAGATTCTTGATTAGGTGCTCAATCACAACTCAGATAATTATTTACCCTCTACAGAGATCTCCACACTATACCATAATTTGCCTTATAATAGCCTCCTGCCTGATTAAAAAAAAAAAAAAAGCTGATTTTAAATTAGAAAACTTAGGGTAGATTTTCTCATAATCTACTGGAATAGCACCCTCATTTTGATAAATCTGTGGCTCTGACAATGCACATTAAAATAAATTGATACATGAAAGGGTTAATTTTATTTGCTTCCATGCCTATTTTGTCTTTTTCATAAGATTGTTTATACAGGGTCACAGACTCTGTGCTAACACACAGTATCATTCACATTGTATGTTCTCATTAAGCAAATAAATGGCTTTTTTACATCTCAATGTTCCCTTTGTTGTTTGAGTAGGCATTTTTTAAAAAATTAAAGTACATGCATTTTCCAAATCATTCTTGTTTCAATCTACTATAATATTCAAAGTGAAATTCGCATGGAATTAAATCAGAAAATGACTCAAGTTATTGTTATCTCTGACCCATTGGTGCCAACCTACATAAAAATGCTCTCATTTCATTTATTTCTCTCTTCCCTGTACTATAGTTTGCATTATTTAAAAGAAAAATTGAACTGAACAGCAGTGATACAAAATTCCATTATATAATCTTATCAAACACATCTACCATGTTATGATTGGTCTTATTCTTATTATCATGGGTAAGTTTTATTTTATATTGCACTACACACACTTGACTATTTGATCTTGTAAAAGTGACTTCATTTAGACTTGTTTCCAAGAAGCATTTTTAAAATATTTTTTCAAGAAAGTATACTGACATATCATTTCTACAGTATAATGATAAAAGTGCAAGATTGTAATACTAGGTGTGTAACAGCAGCCATGGCCTTGGGGTAAAGCCATGGTAAGGCAGAATGTTTATAATATTCCAAAGTGTTTATAATATTCCAGATCTCACAGAATACCAGCACTCCCCCAAAGAGCCACAAAACATATATTCTCTTAATAATTATAATCATTAGTAATTGAGAAATAACACTGCCAACCGACATAGCTTTTACAATTTGTACAGTCTCAAATTTCTTCCCAGAGTTAGAAACTTTAGCTTTTTGTATTTGTGTTCCATATATATTAATGGATTGGAGTACCAAAGAGCTTTGAGGTAGGAAATTGTTATATATTTGTATTAATGCAGAAGTGACAGTAATGAATGATCATAATGAATGGACTACATAATGTAATCTCCAATATTTCTGAAATTCCTTGAGGCTGATTTTCCACTTGGGCCTCTGTAATGAATATCTTCAATTCTCATCCCCTGACTCAGGAAGACATACTCAGACAATAAGAAAAATTCTTTCTTGAAAGAATTTTCTCAACTACTTCACAATATCTGCCTGAAACAGAAATTTCAGACAGATAGAGGAAGGTGGCTAAAAGGGGATTATCTTCTTCACTTCTTTATACATAGAATCCCAGTGCTCATTCCTTAATGGAATAAAACAGGATTCAGACCAGGGAATAGCTTTTAACAAGGCTTAATTTTAATAGGACTCAAATTTGAATATCAAAATAATTCAATAGCTGCAGTCAATAGTGACTGTTGCCATAGAGAACTGGCCTAGAAGTAGCCTCAGGTACACAAGCAAGGTCCTCATGTAATCAAGAAAATGTATTGTTTTCTACAGATAGATGAAAGATTGAATAAATGGAATACTGATCAAAAATTAAGTTTTATATGCACGTTCAAATGATTATGCACCAAGAGGTCCAAATAATTCTTCACCAAAAGAAATGATAAATGTTTGAGAAAATAGATATGTTTAACCTGATTTGATATTAAATAGTGATTACATGCATTGAAGCATTACTTGGCAGCCCATAAATACTCATGCTTTTACGTTTTTATGGGTCAGTTAAAAATAAACCTGATTTAATTAAAAAGGAAATCCAAGTAATTCAATATGATCAAGGATATATGTAGGCATTCCTTGTAAGTCAATAGTAAAATACAACCTAATAAACATTGGGGAAGATATCTAAAAATATACCTCACAGGATGGATATTGATATTAATATCATTAGTATAAAAATACATTAAAAGGCCAAACATCCTTAGTTGTTAAGAAAATGAAACTAGAATAACAATGATCTGTTACTCTTCACCCACTTGAGGCACAATTAAAATACTTCATTACCAGTTAGAAAGTAACAAGATTATATCAATTATGCACTCTCATTTCAGTTTCTGAAATTATTGACGACTAGTAGGTTCAGGGGTACTCAATTTTAGAAAACAATTTAGATTTTGAAATATACTTCAATACATTACTACCAGAGGTTCCAATAATTAATCTCCTAGATACTTACCCCAAATGAACTAAAACATGTTTATCAAAATAACTACACATGCATAGTTATTGATAGCGTAATTCATATAAACTGGAAATATTCAACTGTGCCAACAGATAAAAAGAAAAATTGCAGTACATTTATATAACAGAATAAATACTATTCAGCAATACATTTTAATGAAACACTAATACACACATTAAAATTGATGGATTTCAATAGCATCAACCAGACATAAACATACTACACTATTCCATTTATATGAAGTTCTACAATAAATCTCTGGTTATATAACAAATCTCTGGTTATGTAAATCTTAGCGCTTTTGGCCTGGGGTATATTGTACTGTCACTTAAATAGCAAGTGGAGAATATTTTATGGTCATGGATATATTCTTCACTGAGAGCAAAGATACCACAAACCTCATTTTTCAAAAGTTATGCATAAGCACTTAGCATTTTACTGAATATAAATTATACTAAAATTATTGGCAAATATAACTATATATTTAGGGCAAGCAACATGATATTTGAGACACTCATGTTGTGAAATGAGTGCAATAATTAAACTCATTCACTCTGGTCATCTAACATGCCTATCATTTTTTTAATGAGAGCATTCAAAATCTGATTTATGTTACTATTACAATATTACAATATATTACTTGAAATTAGGACTTTTGCAAATTTCATGTAATTGTTCATGTTTTTAGAAAAGGAGGTTCGTGAGGGGAGGGACATATGTCCTGAAGCTTGAACATTGTCTGGCAAGGACTAAATTAAATAAGTATATGGTTCATATATAGGAAGATAGTTCAAATAAACCAAGGGAATAAAGTATAGTTGGCATCAGAAAAAAACTGTCATTAGCTAATTGATAGTGTTAGGAATTATCTTGGTCTTACTTCTCTGATTTTTCTTACATTGACATTTTATTATTTTTTATTTAAGAATATTTTTCTCTTGTTCAACCTATTTTATTCTTTTTAGAAGGAGGGAAAATGTTAATAGCTCTGGGTTTTTACTGCTATGATATTTATGATGCTATATACTTAAGTTCAAGTTTTGGGATAAGGGACCACCATAGGACTTATTGCTGTAAGTGCCACCACTAAAGCTATCAATTGTGACTCTAAAAGAGATTCACATTATTTTTATTAGGAGTAGGTGACCATCACTGAAATAAACATTTCTAGGAAAATATTTAGTTATATTAAAATAGCAAGTGATTCTTGGGTAAATCTATCTAATGCAATTACCTTTAAAAAATAAGGACCTTTATTATGATAATAAAAATATCAACAACATGAAAAATATAATAAAAAACCAACTAAAGACTCCATGTATTTTTGGATTTTATAAATAATATTAATCATTTTTTATAAATAAAAATGATGACTAAAATAAATGCATGGAAGAATACATACAGACAAAAAGAAAAAGAAAAGAAAATGATGGAATTAAAAGCAGTATCTAGTAAACCATGTCAATGATTTACAAAAAAAAATAAAGGATGAAAACTGCACTATTTTATTTATTAAAAGCCACTAAGAGACTCAGAAAATTGAAAATAGATATGAGAATGCATTTCCCTGTATTTTTATCTGAGTTAACAAAATGGGACAAAAGAAAAAACAGCTAGGAGACGTGGGTGGTAATATTTAAGTTCATATAGATACTATACATGTAAGAAAAAGATAACATAAATAAAATAAAGGGGTCAGTACCCAAAATAATCTTGATAAAGAGAAATACATCGCAGATGAAACATCACAAGGAAACGTTTACTTGAGAACATAACACTTACTCAAGCCTTTAATTGAAAAATATATACCATATTATTTGAAAGTTTTGTAAGTTAGGAATGTATTCAGAATTCAAGTAGATTTCAAGGGAGTAAATCTTCAAACTCTTGCATAATGTTGGACCATCATTTAATGTATCATACTTGCCTTTTCTCTCCCCCAAGCAATGGGGAAGTATACTTATTTGACAAACTTTTAGTCTAGTAACTGAGCTAGGGTAGTACATGATTTAAGAACGTTTTCTATGAGACTCTGCAATTCACCCAAGGATTTGTCCTTGTTCCCTAATGGCAGTTCTATAAAATGATTCATTAAATTCATAGCTAGTTTTGTTCTTCCCCATACAGATGTTTTCCTAATACCTTCATGGCTCCTGGAAATCTCACCCAGTTGACTGAGTTCATTCTCATAGGAGTCTCAGATCTTCCAGAGCTGCAGATTCCTCTCTTCCTTGTCTTCCTGCTCATCTATGGGCTGACAGTCATGGGGAACCTGGGCATCATCATCCTCACCAGTGTTGATTCTCGACTTCAAACCCCCATGTACTTTTTCCTCCGACATCTGGCTATTATAAATTTTAGCAACTCTACCATCATTGCTCCTAAAATGCTGGTAAATTTTTTGAGAAGTGAGAAAACCTCTTCATTCTTTGAATGTGCCACCCAACTGGGAGGATTCCTGGTTTTCATCGTAGCCGAGGTGCTCATGCTGGCGGTGATGGCCTATGACCGCTATGTGGCCATTTGCAACCCCCTGCTCTACATGGTGGTGGTATCTAAGAGGATCTGCCTGCTGCTGGTGTCCCTCACCTACTTCTATGGCTTTTGTACAGCTATTGTGGTGACACCTTGTGTGTTTTCTGTGTATTATTGCTCTTCCAATGTCATCAATCATTTTTATTGTGATATTATGCCTCTGTTAACATTGTCTTGCTCTGATACTTACATTCCAGAAACAGTAGTCTTTATATCTGCAGCTTCAAATATTGTTTTTTCTATGACTGTAGTTCTAGTATCTTATTTCAACATTGTTTGGTCTATTCTAAGGATGCGTTCATCAGAGGGAAGGAAAAAAGCCTTTTCCACCTGTGCTTCACATATGATGGCAGT